GTGTGTGTGTGTGTGTGTGTGTGTGTGTGTGTGTGTGTGTGTGTGTGTGTGTATACTCACTGGGTTTGCCTCCCAGGTAAAGGGTCACTTTGGTCCCCATGGAGCGGTTCTGTGTGGGGCCCACACTCTGCCTGCTGTCTCCGTCCACCCGCAGCTGCAGGCGGTTGTTTTTCTTCACCACTGGAAACACACGTCAGTGTCACGACTTGGTCACAGAAGCAAGGCGGACGTGGAGAGGACTCTGAGAAGGAACTCACCTGTGATTGTGTGCCAGAGGCCGTTACACAGAGGCCTTTCCGGTCTGAAGGAGGTCCTGAACTCACCTTTACCACTGTTGACTGCAACGGTCACCTACAAACACAAACATCACTCAGCTCACCTTTTATTTTGGACTCTGCAAAAAGAAAGACTTGGTTTTGAGTTATTCTGGGTATTTTGTTGGACAGAGTGGTGTCACCTCTCCCTGACTGAGGACCAGGCTTAGGTGTTGGTCCGCTGAGCTCCCAGCATGCAGCAGCAGTCCAGAGTCAGAGATGGGTCGAACCTCCAGCTGGACCTCCACATCCTGACTCAAAACCAGGACCTGATCTGTCAGAGGGGGAGACCTCAGTCAGGACAGTGCCCACCAACACAGCGAGGCTCAAACAGGAGGAGGGACAGTAAATACCTGTCTCCAAGTGTCCCCCCCGTCCAGAGAAGTATGCTCCAGGCTGCAGAGGACTGGGGAAGCAGGGCACCGTCCCCTGGCTGTGGGCTGGGACCCCTGCAGGGACTCTGTTCAGGGTCAGGTCTCTGACACAACCGATGAAAGCGTCGCAGCCCTGAGACTAAACACAYATTATGTTTATTTATAAACCGTTATTTAACCAGACAAGTCCCACTGAGATCTCACATCTCTGTTTCAAGTATGTTTCAGACAAGTGACAAGTTAAACCAAACTTTATTTACATTAATATGAGCCGAAAACTTTAAATCACTTAAAACCTCTGTGCTCTTATCTACGTCTGCAGGCAGTCCTCATTTATAGCTTTTAGCTTCTGTTTTGATCATTTTAGCTTCTGTTCTGATCATTTTAGCTTCTGTTCTGATCATTTCAGTTATTGTTTGATCATTTTAGCTTCTGTTCTGATCATTTTAGCTTCTGTTCTGATCATTTTAGCTTCTGATCATTTTAGCTTCTGATCTGATCATTTTAGCTTCTGTTCTGGTCAATTTTAGCTTTTTTTGATTATTTTAGCTACTGTTTTGACTATTTTAGCTTTTGTTTTGATTATTTTAGCTTCTGTTCTGATCATTTTAGCTTCTGTTCTGATCATTTTAGCTTCTGTTCTGATCATTTTAGCTTCTGTTCTGATCATTTTAGCTTCTGTTCATTTTAGCTTCTGATCATTTTAGCTTCTGTTCATTTTAGCTTCTGTTCTGATCATTTTAGCTTCTGATCATTTTAGCTTCTGTTCTGATCATTTTAGCTTCGTTCTGATCATTTTAGCTTCTGTTCTGATCATTTTAGCTTCGTTCTGATCATTTTAGCTTCTGTTCTGATCAATTTTAGCTTTTTTGATTATTTTAGCTACTGTTTTGACTATTTTAGCTTTTGTTTTGATTATTTTAGCTTCTGTTCTGATTATTTTAGCTACTGTTCTGATCATTTCAGTTATTGTTTGATCATTTCAGCTACTATTTTGCTGATTTAAATGTCTACTTGGCTTATTTTGGGTTTATAACTTGTTTTGCTCATTTTAGCTTGTCCCTTCTGTTGGTGTAACTAACAACCATTTCAGCTGTTATTTACTGCATTTTCACAAAAAATACAAATTCTCCTGTGTCTTTACTTTGATTATACAGAAACCTATATTAGTATAAATATATATATTAAATTAAAGAACTTATGTAGCTGTATATTGAATAATAAAGTTTAAACAGAATGTACTGTATTTCACTGATAAAGGTTCTGTGCTGTAAAATGTAAACAGTCTTTCAGTCCTGTAAGGAGAAACAAATGAAACATTGAATAACAGTTATTATATTTACTGTCTTCACAGCAGGGACTCCTCCGATGTATAAAGGTCCAGAGATCCGAGTCTTGGTTCCACTCGGTATCCTCTTAGACTGAGCACTGATGCCGTCTATGATCAGACTGATCCTCGAGTCTTCATGTCTTATAAAGACCTGCAGCGACAACAAGAGCAGAAATTATTCATACACACTGAAAATATAACAAAAAACAACAACACAACAACAATAATAATGTGTGTGATTGTTGTTCTTAAGGCTTAAAACTTAAAAGGTAAAAGACGCTCAAAACTGTTCTTTAAAGTTCATTTTATGATGTAAGAGTTTTAGCCATTCTGCTCAAACATTAAAAACAAGCTAAATAAATAAATGAAAAAATGAAGATGACAAAAATATTTACTACTAGAAACAATTTTATAAAAAATTCTCTAAAGTATTTTTCTAGCAGACAAATGGTTGAATTCAAGTGAGCTAAGATGCTGTTGGCTCTCACCACATGCTAATTTTAGCTTTAGCATCTGTTTAGTTTGTTTTAGCTGTGGCATGTTTGGCTGCTTTCAGCCACTGTTTTGGTTATTTATCTCATCTATTCTTTTACATTTTAGCTACTTTCTTATTTTTTAGCTTTGCCATCTGCGTAACTACTTTTAGTTTCTGTTCCTGCTTAATGAAGCATAAGCAATGCTGCGGACGGAAAGAATTTTAGCTAAATATTGGCTCTATTTGCTGAGTTAAGAACTCGTTTTTAAGGCTAAGGTTGTGGTGGCCATATTGAATTGGATTGCTCCAGAAGTTAAACAGTTGTGGAATTACATTCAATTTCTAAAAGCCTATTCAAAATGTGTCCATTTGTTCACGAGATATTTTGCTGACAGTACAGACACAGACAAAAGCGTTGAGATCTTTGGCCTCTTGGTGTCTGGTAATAAAGCTTCTTTAGCATTGTGGCGTGGCCCTGGGCCTAAGAGCTTACCGTGTGCCAGCGCTCATCCTGGTACTTCTTGTTGCTGCGCAGGCTGACCTTGGTCCTGCCCGCGTCTACAGACAGCAACAGGAAGCCGTCTGAGACGCTGAGCGCCACTGCGGCTCTGCCTCGCTGCCTGCCGGCGGCGTGCAGCACGCAGCCTGATGAGGAGCTGATCTTCAGTTCCAGGGACAGATGAAGCCTGAAACACAGAGMTGATTAGGTCAACCAAAGGAAAGTGTTAAGGCTGAAACATACTCGCTGCGAACTGCCGACGTCGGCACAGGTTGTCGCAGTTTAGTGACGAAAACCCCGACTCACTCCCAGAGCCGACACCAAAAAGTAGAGTTTTATAAAGATAGTCATTCCGTGAAAAACTCATGAATAAATAAAACAGACGTTGTGCACGGAGGAATCTGACTGATAAAAACAGTGGAGCTTTGACCAGGACAGATGTGGATAAATACGTSGGGTAAGTGACGAGTCTGACTTTTTTTTTCTGCATTATCGGCTGTTGCGGGGGAACTCCATGCAGTGACGTATGTTGCAGGGAGGGGGGTTTCCCGAACTCGGCGCAGGGGTGTCGTAGGCACTATGAAAGGTCTGTGCGATTACGACTGCCAAACAACCACGTGACCGCGCATCGACCCGTCGGAGTCGGAGCAAGTATGTTTCAGGCGTTACTGTCAAAATGCAGCTGAATGCTGGAAGGTCTGCTGAGCAGAGGCTCAAATATGTAACAGATTCACTTCAAAATAAATACTTTGAGATTCAATAAAACCCATCCAGTGGTTTGTGAAATATTTTGCTAACAGGGTTGATTCCAACAGTTAATGATAAAGTTTCAAGTAAAAACTTTATTCCAATCTAAAACACAAAGACACCTTTCAACAAGAAGAGAAAACTGTCTGTTAGCGCCAACACTCACACTGAGCTGAGTGAGCCGGGCACCGAGTCGTATCTCTGGTAGCTGTGGGCGGAGCCACTGAAGTGGGTCGCTCTGCTTTCAGGGACAGGGACCGGACCCTGGCAAGACTCCCTGGTGTTCCGACTGCGAGATCCGGATGGCTTCTTGTTCTTTCCCTAAGAAGCAGAAAGTGTGTCATGAGTTCCTGACCAGACCACACGAGTCCAAGGGTTTACTGGTTCTGTGTTCAGACCCCACAGATCCAGGGTTTACTGGTCATACCTTCGGTTTGTTACTGCGTTTCGGCTGCATAGCAACAATCAGCTGAGGTTTCTTAGCTGCAGGACAGCTGAGGGGAACATTGACGTTCTCTTTGACCTTCATCAGATTCAGGACCATCTGTGTACTGGTGTCTCTGCAGAAAACGAAAACCATGTTAGAAAGCCACCAAAACTGTAATTACTTGGCATTTAAATGGGTCTTCTGTTTTTCTGTAAGTAACACAGCCTTACAGCTCATCTCACTCTTCACCATGACAGACTGGTACAGAGTCCACAATACTGCAGAAGCTGCATCAATCTGTTTATTAATCTTATGCTCCAATCTTCTCTCACTCGTGAACAAGACCCCAARATAGTTGAACTCCTCCACCTGAGGCAGAACTTCACCCCCAACCTGAAGAGACTTTTCCGACTGAGGACCATGGCCTCAGATTTGGAGGTGCTGATCCTCATCCTAGCTGCTTCATACTCAGCTGTGAAATGCTCCAGTGAGAGCTGAAGATCATAGCAGGATGATGCCAACAGAACTACATCTGCAAATTGCAGAAGTTGAAATCCTGATGCCACCGAACTGGACTCCCTGCACCACGTGGCTGCACCAAGAAATTCTGTCCACATAAGTTATGAACAGAATCGGTGACAACGGGCAGCCCTGGCAGAATCCAACTCCAATTCTGAAAGGGCCAATACAAAGCAAATTCTTGCACCGCTTGTACAAAAACCGAATGGCCCGTAACAATCCTCACAATCCCATGCTCACATAGCACGCCCCTCAGTGTACCACAAGGAACAAAGTTTTAAGTCCACAAAAYGCATGTAGACTGGATTAGCAAACTCCCAGGACCCCTTGAGAACTCTAGTGAGGGTAAAGAGTTGGTCAAGTGTTCCACGGCCAGGAGAGAACCTGCATTGTTCCTCCTGAATCTAAGGTTTGACTATCGATCAGACTCTCTTCTCCAGTACCCCTGAAAAGACCTTACCGGGGAGGGTAAGGAGAGTGTTGTCCCTTTAATTGGAGCATATCCTCCCTTTTTGAGGAGGGGGAACCAGTGGCACTGCCCCCGATGTCCACGAGATGTTGCACAGGCGTGTCAACAAAGACAGCCCCACAATATCCAGATCCTTGAAGAAATCAAGGCAGATCTAATCTACCCCCAGACCCCTGCCACCGTGGAGTATTTTAACTACCTTAAAGCCCTCAGCCCCAGTTACAGACAAACAAACCCCAATATCCAAAGACTCAGCTGCCTCCATGGAAGACATGCCAGTGAGATTAGGAAGGTCCGAGAAGTATTCCTTCCCTCTCCTGATGACAACACTGGTTGAGGTCAACAGCACCCACCTTTACTGAGCACAGTCTTAGTGAAGTGCTGCTTTTCCTGCCTCAGCTGTCCGCTGGTTGCTAGAATCTCCTTGGAGCCGATCGAGAGTCTTTGCCCAAGGCCTCACCAAACCACTACCGCATCTTAGCAAGCAACAGCAAGGGCTGCGGTCCGCTGGGCCTGCTAATACTCCTCAACTGACTCCGGAGTCCTACCAGCCAACAAAGCTCGATAGGACTCCTTATGCAGCTTGACTGCCTCCCTGTCCACCACCAAAATTAAGAGTGGCCACCGCTAGAAGCACTGACAACCTTGTGGCCAGAGCTCAATGCAGTTGCCTCAACAATTGAGCCATGAAACATGGCCCACTCAGGCTAAATGTCCCCCACCTCGGCTGGGATGTGGTTTAAGTTCTCCTGGACGTGGGAGTTCAAGATCTTTCTGGCAGGTTCTTCTGCCAGATAAAACCAGCAAAACCCGAGAAGTCTTGAGGGTCTTCAGGATGTTTTGGCAAATTTTAGATGGGTCTCTGTGTTCTTTTTGCTCAGCAGTGGTCTGGGTCTTGGAGCTTTCCCATGGAGACGTTGTCTACCCTTCATCTCTTTCTTATCATTGAATCATGAACTCTGAGGCCTGCAGGGCTTTAGATCTTGTTCTGATTTCTTTTAGAACCTCTTTGATGAGTCATAATGCACACTTGGAGAACCTTCCATTACTGGGAAGATTTACAGATTTAGACAGTGTATGGGTTTAAGTGCTGTAACAAGAAAGTTTATAACATTTCTGACAATGTAAAAAATAGAAGGATTTTTAGACCTTGTAAAAATGGTCTTTTTTATTAATAGCACCAAAAAACAAACAAATAAAAACACAAACAAAAAATAAATGTGTGGATGATTTTACCTAATGAAAACTTCCATGTGTTATAACCATGGTCAAACCCCTTCAACCCTGGTTTTTCTAACCTTTTTATGAAAATATTGCGGATACATCCGGTGAAATTAGCGAGATTCGAGTTAGGCACTCCTCCCACATATGTGGTGTCCTCAGAACCAGCATTTTCAGCTGCCCTGCCCATCCGCCGTCCGCCACCATTTACTTTCTCCAGTACATCATCCATGTAGAGACGCATCCTGAGGGACAAGCAGACAGTCAACAAACCATTTGAAATGGCTAACCACAGCACAGCTCATGGTAATGAAATGAGAATTTGTGTCGCYGTCTTGGTAGGTGCTCCGTGAGCATCCTTACTTCCTGACAGCAGGCCATGAATTATTGTGATTATTGAAGCACTTCAAATAACATGGCTAACATTTCACTGGTGAGGATCCTGTCATATTACAGGGCTATTCATATTCAGCCTGTCATTTTAGCTCACACATCATTGAAAATGTGACATTTTCAGTCTTTGTCTTCACTGTGTCAGCATATGATGTCAGAAAATAGTTCAGAGAAAAATGTATCTGTACTAAAGAAACTAATCATTCAGTTTAGCCTTTTTTTTCTTTTTTTCCCATTCAGACAAAAACTGTGCCACCCTTAAACAGAAGTGGGTAGTAAATCATTACTTTTACTCAGCTTCATTTACTTGAGTAACGTTTTGGAAAAAACATACTTTTAGGAATAGTTTTACTATACTGTATTTTTTACTTTACTTGAGTAATATTATATATTATGTATATTATAATATATAGATATTATTACATTGTCTAATTTCCCTCTGGGATCAGTGAAGTAATTTTGAATTGAAATGAATTATTATGAAGTATTGCTACTACTTTACCCAGTGTAAGTAACTTCACTGAATGAAACACAAACATAATTTAACCAGAAATGCATCAGAGACAGTTTATTTTAAATTGARACCTCGTGTTTGTACACAAGTTTTGTTTTCTGATATTTTCTGTCTCCTGAGACATTTGGAGGTCAGGGTCTGTATTTATCAAACTTCTTAGAGTGGAATTTTAGACTTAAGTGCTGAAAATTTCTTAGATTTACTCCTACTCTCAGATTTAGGTGTAAATGCCAGTTATCAAAATTCTTAAGCCTAAGAATCACTCTTGTTCTCCCAGATAGTTAAGACAGTTTCAGAGGACTCAAGAGTTGCCACTAGTGGTCTGAGATGGACTGAAGACAGAGATCACAGCTGTGTCCTCAGGAATACTCTGCACCACCACAGAAACTGCACTAATCGGTCCGGGGGTCTCCCACCTTGGCGTGACTTTCTGTTACAATGAACAGAGGAACTAAAATAATGTGTGGAAACAGGTTTAGTCATCAATACAAAAGAAAGAAGGGGAGAAAAAAAACAACTATCAGTGAGATATTTCTGTGCAGCTTTTGGAGAGAATATTAAAATATCAGCTGGTGAGTGAAAGAAAACATGATGCTATCAAAAGTCTTGATTTTGAACCACCCTCACTGGTGAAGGCAGGATTGAACTTTTTCTCTTATTGACTTYTTTGTTTTGTTTTTAACTCAAACTTAACAAAATTAGTTAATTTCATAAAAATAAATAATATTCTGTAATGAGCGCATGCTGCTGGTGGTGATGGGGTCTCGGACAGAGGATAATGATGGAGTGATGTGTGTGTGTGTGTGTGTGTGTGTGTGTGTGTGTGTGTGTGTGTGGATGGGCTTTTTCCTACAACATGGGGAAATTATTTTTCAAAAAAGCAACCTCATGGGGACCGATGTCAGGTCCCCACGGGTCCAAATGCAAATTACAGTTGTGGGTGGGGCAGGGTTAGGTAAAGGTGCTTTATTTGTCATCAGTGTATGTTTCCACACAATGACGAAATTGTGCTCTGCATTTAACCCATCCACACCCAAGTGGAGCAGCGGGMAGCCATGTGAGGCGCCCGGGGAGCAGTGAGGGTTAGGTGTCTTGCTCAAGGACACCACGACATGTGGGTATGGCGGGGAGTCGAACCTAAGATTTTCGTGTCCCAAGCCGGCTGCTCTACCACTACACCACAGTCGCCCCATGGTTTGGACCAAGGTTTAGGTTAGTTTTAGGGTCAGATAAGTACCTGGGAGGTTCATTTTAGGGTAAATGGTCAGGGTTAGGCTATAAAGTCTACAAAAAATTAATGGAAGTCAATGCATGGTCCCCATGGGGTTAAATAACAAATGTGTGTGTGTGTGTGCTTTTTACTCTTACTTGAGTAATTTGTTGTACATTTTATATACTTTTAGTGAGCCATTCATTAAAGACCTTATTGTTCCATAGTTTCCTAACAGAGCWCTTCACTCTCAGACTGCAGGTTTACTTGTGGTTCCTGGAGTTTCTAAAAGTAGAATGGRAGGCAGAGCTTTCAGTTATCAAGCTCYTCTCTTGTAGAACAAACTTCCAGTTTCTGTCCRTGAGGCTGACACTCTGTCTACTTTTAAGATTAGACCAAAACTTTCCTTTTTGATAAATCCTATAATTAGACTTAGGTTTCCTGACTTTTTCTTTAGTTTTACTGCTATAGACTTAGACTGCTGGAGCACAAACTGACTACATTTCCTCACTCTGCTGCTGTCTTTAGTCACGCTCCTCTACATGTTTGGATTTGTAATAATGTATATAATTTATGTTTATTATTTGTTTCTCTTTCAAGAAAACCACATCTGGACCAGTGTTCAGGTCTTGGATATCTTAACAACTGCTCTCTTACCCGTTAATGTTGTTGTATACAGCCACGTTATGACTATTGTTGTCGTTATAGGTCTTCTGAGTCCTAATTTCATTGCTGCCAGTTCTCACCACAATGTGGCCTTGCCTCAGAAACACCTGGCAGGTGTCTCCCTGTGAAACAAACAGGAGGATAACAGCAGCTGAAGTCAGGGAAGAAACAGGACAGAAACAAAGATCACAGAGAATCTTCTGACCTGAGATATATGGTTGAACATGAGACCCTCGTTTTTTTCAGTTCTGAAGCTGAAGCTGATGTAGAAGCTGCTCCTCAGGTTGGAGACATTAGCCACACCAGCATCCAGGAGGCTCTGACCGTCGAAATAAGCCTCCCGAGCCACCTGCACAAACATATGAGTTAATCAGTGGGACATACAATGACCAGTTCCTACAGGTTTCTCAAAGATTTGTCCGGTAGTTCATGAGATATTTTGCTGAGGGAAAAAAAAGGGTTGATTTCAACAGTTAAAACTTTCAACCAGATCTCGTTTGATCAGGTAGAACTCAGAGTATGAGTTAGGATAACTCATATGGAACCATACAAAGGGTTAACTCAATGGCTGGCGAGCAACTGGTGGTCAAGCCTTGGCTCCTGGGGCTCGGCCGGGCCAAGCCCAAAAGGACTGCAGGAGGCCACCTCCACATGGACCACATGGGTCCAGATTAGGAAGCAGAGTTGTAGTCTTACACACCTCTCTGCTGCTTCTCCTTTATTACCCAAACCCCCATTAACAATGTGTCAGCCCCATGGACCAAATTAAATAAATATAAAAACTCTACAAAAATAAATCACAAAAATATTATAAAAATAAGCACAGTTACTTTAACCAGACCAAAACAATAAAACTATTAGGTGTGGCTTATTAAACATTAGTTCTCTTTCTTCTAAATCTCTGTTAGTTAATGATCTGATAACTGATCATCATATTGATTTATTCTGTCTTACTGAAACCTGGTTACAACAAGAGGATTTKGTTAGTATAAATTAATCCACTCCTGTTAATTATTTAAATTTTCATGTTCCTAGAACTGTCATGATCTGTGTTTTTCTCTTTATTTTCTTAGTGTTTTTCTGGTCCCGTGTTTTCCTCTCCCTGCTGTTTTACCTCCAGTCCCGCACACACACCTGATCCCTCTCGTGTCTCCCCAGGTGTTTCTCCTTTACTCTTAATTTGTTTGCTTTATATTCTGAGTCTTGTCCTCCTGTTTTTGTGGGATGATTGGGCCTCATGCAAGAACTGCCCCTCTGAATAAATGTAACATGTAACACAGTTGTTTACACTTGAATTAAAATTATTTGACCAAAGAAAAACCGGAGCAGGACTACAGAGAGAGAGATAAATATGATTTAGATTTTTATTTCTGTGACTGTACGACCCACGGGTGACACGACATTAACAGCAGTCGTCATTTCATTCCTCGGCTTTAAAGCAGATCCTTTAAATCTATAGCTGACACTGTTAAAAGTGACWTTTTTTTGTGGATCTCCGAGAGCAGACCTTCAATCTCCGAACTAGTTCTTCTTTTTTACTTTGCGACGTCACTTATGAATGGACACTTCCTGTTATGTGTGGCAGGAAACGTATGTCCTTATATGGTGTTTTTTGGGGTGGTAATTATGTAAATCACCTCTCCCCGTGCACGAGCACCTGATAGGCATTCATCAGTTTACACAGCTCATTTACTCACTTTTCCTGAAGATAGAAGAGTTTGTTGAATCTGACGTGACATGTTCGTACGAACCCTTCATATGAACAAAAGTAAGAGAAATTTAGGATACGAATACAAACATGTTCTTGCATGAGGCCCATTGTGTTTCTTTCCTGTGTTTCGTCTCCCTCGTGCCTGTTCCTCCGAAGTTTTCTGTGAATATTTAGAGCTGCACAGCCTTTTTGTTTTGTTAAATAAACCTTTTGTTCCATTTTTTGAACCTGCCTGCACCCTGGGTCTGTTCCTACACCAATCCTCACATAAACATCAGGTCGTGGTGGAGGAGTAGCTGTCATTTATAAGTCAGACCTATTAATTAATGCTAAATGAAATATTAGTTATTATTCATTTGAGTCTTTGTCCCTCAGTCTTTCTCATCCAAAATGGAAATCAGAAAAACCTATACTACTTGCTGTTTATCGTCTTCCAGGCCCTTATTCTCAGATTTTATCAGAACTCTCAGATTTTCTGACTGATTTATTATTAAATACTGATAAAATTATAATAATGGGAAATTTTAACATTCATGTAGATGATGAAAGTGATAGCTTAAATATAGCTTTTAGTAATCTAATTGAGTCAATTGATTTTACTCAAAATGTCCACAGACCTACTCTCTTCATCACACTCGTCATCTGGTTCTGACGTTTGGTGTACAGAGTAAGAACTTAATGATATATCCTCACAATCCTGTTCTCTCTGAACATTTTTTAATAACATTTGAGTTTACATTGGCTGACTTTATAGCTACTGAGAGTAAATTTCATTATAGTAGATGTTTAACAGAGAATGCTGAAGCTAAATTTAAAGAATCTCTTCCATCTTTATTTTCCTCTGTCTTTCAGAATAATGTAACAGAGAACAGTAACTTAGATGGTCTTGTTGATAATATTACAACTTTAATGCGTACCTCTCTTGATGAAATTGCTCCACTAAAAAAGAAAGTTATCGATTGGAGGAAGCCGACTCTTTGGTTTAATTCAGAGTTATGTTCTTTAAAACGGGCATCTAGAAAACTGGAGAGAAAATGGCGCTCCACTAACATAGAAGAATCTTATTTAATGTGGAGAGACAGTCTGCTAACATATAAGAAAGCCCTTCGTAAATCTAGAACCGTATATTATTCATCTTTAAAGGGCCAATATTATGTGTTTCTGAGGCATATATTTAAATACTATACCATAATAAAGTATCTATGTCACCTTTAGCTGTCATTAAAATGCTGTTTTTATGTTTAAATAGAAAATGAACTTATCATCTCATCACTTCCTCTTCTAAACGCCTTGAAATTGGCCTCTGTCTCTTTAAGAACCACCTTCGCTTCTGTCTCGCCCATTTCTGTGTGGGGGTCACGCTCGCGGGTAGTGGGGGGGGTGGGTGCTGCTGCCATGATGCAGTTTACTTGGCATCTGAAAATACATTTCCTCAAAGGTATTTTTAATCTGAAAAGAGCTTCACTGAGTGAGAACTAATGTTGAGAGCTCAGCAGACAGTTAGGTTTCACTTTCACCAGAGAGCCTGCAGGAGTCATGGGCGGGGTGTGTGGGGAGGGGGTGCACCCTGCCATGAGGAAGTTCGGCTTAAAGACAGGTCCCAGGGGCATTTCTGGTCCCAAAAGGCGTTTCTGGTCCCCGCCTGTCGTTTTGCTCCTCAGCATGGCTTCCTAAAAATGCTGCAGGATTTCTCAAACATGCATGAATGAGTCAAAGCAAGGCTTTGGGCATGTTTTTTATGAGAGTATAACATTATAATATGATATAAAACTCAAAAAAGTTGATTTTACATGATATTGCCCCTTTAATAGAAGAGAATAAAAACAATCCCAGGTTTCTGTTCAGTACTGTAACTAGACTAATGAAAAGTCCTATCTCTGTTGAACCATGTATCCCTATAACTCTAAGTAGTGATGACTTCATGAGGTTCTTTATAGATAAAATAATTTTAATAAGGAATAAAATTCATGMCAAACTTCCTGCTACTGTCTCTGATTCTCTGTCAGATGAGGCAGTTTTRGTGTCACTAGAACCTGATTAATGTCTGGACAGTTTTTGTCCTGTTGAGCTRTTTGAATTATCTAAAATTATAGCTTTATCCAAAACATCAACRTGTCTGCTAGATCCTATCCCAACCAGACTGTTCAAAGAAGCATTTCTCTTAATTAATATCCATATTTTAGATGTGCTTAATTTATCTCTAATGAATGGTTATGTGCCACAGAGCTTTAAGGTTGCTGTAATTAAACCTTTATTTAAGAAACCTGATCTTGATTGAGGAGTTCTGGCCTACTATAGACCTATTTCTAATCTCCCATTCATCTCAAAAATTCTTGAGAAAATAGTTGCAAATCAACTACGTGAACATCTGGATATAAATAATCTATGAGGAGTTTCGGTCAGGGTTTAGAGCTCATCACAGCACAGAAACAGCACTGGTGAAAGTTACTAATGATATTCTCATGGCCTCAGACAGTGGACTTGTGTCCATTCTTGTCCTGTTAGATCTCAGTGCTGCATTTGAGACAACTGATCACAATATTTTATTACGTAGACTTGAACTTGATATTGGGATTACAGGAACATCTCAGTTTGAGATTAATTACAATCATTCTATTTACAAGGTGTTAACATTTTTAAGACTTCTGAAAGATTGATTTAAGATGTTTTAAGGCTAATTAAGGCCTTATTTTTGGATTGATGAATTCAATGCCTTTTAAGACTTTTTACGGGTCTGCAGGAACGCTGATAATATAGCAACTTTCTAAGAGCTGGCAGTGAAACACAGCAGAGTTGTGTTCCGATAACGTCACTTAATTAATTTTAGCTCCTCTATGGTTAAAGTGCCTGTGACATGAATTTTTTAAATACATATAAAGGCATTATTGGAAAGATAACAATAACATATTGCAAAAATAATTTCTCGCTGCTGAAATGAGCAGTTGTTGAGATATTTGCATTTGAGATAACAGGAAGTGATGTGAAAGGGGAATTTCTGCATGGATTAGAGCATTGATAAAACAGCTAAGGTCAGACTGTAGAGAAGAATCTGATTTTCCTTTAGATTATTTTGAGTCACTATCAAAGAGAGATGAAGACGAGTCAGAGTTCAAATAATGTAATTTCAATAAACAAAGACCAGAGAGTTCAGTTTCTTAAATAGTTCCCCTTTGATGGCACTTACTGTGTTACTTTGGCTGATCCACGTTCAAAAGAAAAATGCTATTTTTGTGACCAAATGGGTAAAAATCCCATTTTATGCAAGGTTTCTTATAAAAATGTGTTTTATTTGACTTTTTGTATTTGATGGATAGGTATGTCACACTGTCACAGGCACTTTAAAACTCCACCTCAACAAGAAATACTTTCCTTCTGTTTATACATCAGCTATCTCCTAACTCATGCTGACTTTTGTAGTACATAACACGACCTGAACATAAATGTCAAACCAAAACTGAACATTACAACAACAACAACAACCTGTCTGCACACAGAACCATAAAATGTCCACACATTATTGGCCTCAGACCCAGCAGCCCCTGCAGCTCACCCAGCCTCAGATGGTACTTTGACAGCTCGCACCTCCTCCATCACTGCTCTTTGAGACCAAACGTTGAAAAAAAACAAACACTTTGTGT